CCATTTCATCACAAACTCTCTCATGGATACTCCGCAGCCTGAGAAAAATCACTTGGGCATGTCTAGGAAAAGGGGGAAGATGGTATTCACTGATGTAACTCCCAGGGGCTTTTGTGGGTAGCAGTTTTGGAGATTTTTATCCTTTGCACTAACGAAGTGCAAGGATCATCATAAAGCTGGATCAGACTAGGTGGGTGGGAAGGAGGTAGAAAGGGGGACTACGCTCTGCTTTTTAAATCTTTCCCATTAAATCCTCTTCTTCCTTTGGAGTTTGCTGTTGTCTGTAGCTTGATCTTCCTGAAAAGCAATTTTACAGCCAAAGCTAGCTCTGCCTCAGGCAACCCCTCCTTGCAGAGGTTCACATTTCCAGAGAAGCAGACTGACTGCAATAGGCACTGGGCCATTTGAGCCGTATGAAGCTTGGAAGGCTCCACTTTCCTTATAAAAGCTGTTTCCTGAAAGATCTGGCACGTCCTTTGCACAACTGGCCCAACTGAGCTCATTTATTTTCTTAGTTCATTCTTTCCTGGGGTCTCCATCTCATCATCCCCCAGCCAGTGAATGTATAACCCATCATGCATTAACTCCTGGGTGTGTGTGTGCACCCTGCACAGCACAGAACTGATGCGTAACCACTACCCACAAGTGTTCCTGGGAGACCATGCTCCTCAGCGGGAGGCTGGCAGCACTACCATACCTCAAACCCCTAACTCAGCCGCCCTCAAACTGTGGGTCATGACCCCAAATGGGGTCTCGACATCAGTGGATGGGGTCACAAGGGTGGGAGGCTGTGGGATGGGAGTGAGAGGCCATGCTAAGGAAAAGTTTGGGAAGCACTGCCCTCACTCTTTGCATTCTGTACAGCCAGTGTTACTCCCTTCCTCCAGCTATAAAAGGCTATGTTAATAATGACAACATCTGGGGAGCTGATTCTGGGGGGTGTCAGGGAGTGAAGTGGAGGGCACCCTCCAACTTGCTGAATGCATGAAGCTGATACAGGGCTGCGACTGGCTCAAGACCAAAACAAGGAATCCAACTCCACAGCAGCAAAGAAAGATCCCAGATCAGCCGCAGTACCTGAATGCTATCAAACTTGAGGCAGGTCATATTTGACAGATCTTTTATCATTATAGCACCCAGGAGATGTTACATTTAAGTACAGTGGGACAAAATACAGGAATTTCTTCTCCAAAGACTTCCCTCCCTATCCCTGTTGCTCTAATACCTTCCTCTCGAGAGCTCTGTTGCTGTCCCATTTGTTTTGCTGGGCAGGTGAGGAGGATCATTTCCACTGCAGGGGTATTCTCTGGCAAGACCCAAGACCCAGGTTAAGTCTGACATTCCAGAGTCTCCTCTACCGCTTTCCAAGAAAAAGTCAAATCCAACGAGGAAAATAAAGTTACATTCACACACAGAGAACGAACAAAATTCCTTTGGGTTAAATGCCGTAAAATAAGTGATAATAATTAGGACCACTTGCCCCTCCAGGAAAATATTGTGACAGACAATCCCAGATGGGATCTTTTTGGTTCCTGATGTGACCCCAAGTTCAAAAGAATTAGGGGTTTGTTAAGAATGCTAAAGGCAGCAGGATGTATAGGAGAGCAGGAGATATTTTTCAGGACTTCAGAGGCCACAATGTCTAACGTTACCACAGAAGGCTTCCCAGAAAGCAGCATATTTCAGATCAGACCACTGCAGCCAAATCTCCACTTGGTAATGAAATTCAGATGCTAAAATGTTTCTCAGAAGGCAGGGTAGGGGGAGCAAGCTACAGAAGCCATAAAGGCTGAACCAAGTAAAAAGCCCAGCAAGCCTACAACTCTCCATATACTGGATCCACAAGTTGCAAGTTTTTGGCAGAGGGACAGACACTGGGTTTGCCTTGCCTTTGACCCAATGATGCATCTTGATGGAAACAGCACAAATCTGCAGTTTTACAATAAGTAAAAACAACATCTGTTGCCATCCCAAGCTGAGGAAGCGAAGTCCTGAGCCAGAAAGAATACAGCATAATTCCTGAACCCTACAGTATAATATTACCCATCACTGCAAAGGCTTTTCTACAGCCAAGCTGGGTCCTCTCAGGATGAGACCCTGCCAACGAGCCATCCTACCTGGTGACCAGCATCAGAAGCCAGCTCATAAGAAAGCAAGCCGCTGTGTTCTTTCTTCACGTGCCAAACCTGGCAAAAGGAGAAGAGAAGGCACAGACCTCACAATGCGTCACAGCGACTTCTCTCAAGCGAGTGATCCTGATTTAGAAGCGATTCTGAAGAAGACCCACACAGCTAGTCAGATGTAAGCTCAATATGCCTAGCAAGCTGGCTCCTGCTCAGTCCTGGAACATAGTCTCAAATAAGAAGTTTGCACCAAAACCACCCATTGTTCTGTGCTAATGTACAAAAGTAGGAAGAGACAGAGCCAAGAATGTTAACAACTCTCCTCTGTATTACTCTTAGAGACGTTTCAGGCTCATCCAGAAGTAAAATGTCAAGGTAAGTCTCGGACAGTATGAACTGCACATGACCATGCAGGAAGGCGGTAAAGATAAAAATAAACCCAGGACCAAAACATGCAGCTCAAAGCAGAACCAGAATCAAGGCCCACCTCTAGACTACTACTTTCCTCCTCCCCTGTTTTAGCTACCAATCCAAGGCTATGGAAAGAGGAAGAGAGTACAGCATCCAAAAAAATTTGCTTCTTCCAGGTATTCTGAAAGCACTTGTGACCATGATTTGGTTCTTAAATGTATTATAATCCTGATCCTAAAAACTCACATTAGTCTTGTGACCCTCTGGAACTATCCAGTTCAGTGGTGCTCATCCTATGGCCCATGGGTCAGATCTGGTCCCTGAAGTGAATGGATGTGACCCATAGCATAAGGGATCGATAGTAAGAAGCCTGGATTGGCATGCATCCCCTTTCCTGCCCTGCCCCTGCTGCTGATTCCCTTTGCAGCTGGAGGTTAGTTCTCTTCCTCTATGCCTGACATAGATAGTCACTCCCTCCTTCCACTCCCCTACCAGAGAGAAGTGGGGGCCCACAGTACAGCTGGGTCATAAGCACCCAGCCTGCCACTCTAAAAGCTTGAGGTCCACTGACCTAGCCCATTCTCCAGCTACTACCATGAGGTCCCTTCACAGCAGAGTAGGGCCTCAAACTGACAGCCTGAATCCAAGCACCCCTGGGTCTGGGAAGAGTCCAGAATCCAAATCCAGAAACTGCAGCTCAGGCCCTTGACTCTGAAATCTGCATCCCCCACTCCATCTGGATTTTTACATTTTTTGGACATATTGCAAGTCCCATCAGCTTTGAGGAATGATGGGGATACAGAACTAATAAGAAGAGCTTTTGTGACTAGGGAACAACTTTTTTTGGACAGGCAGTTTTCCAGACTTTCTGACCATTTCTGGAGACTGTCTTTTAACCTCCTGCAAAGGGGAACAGTGCATAGGATGGGGATCTGCCAGCATCATTTCTAAGTAGTCAGTCAGCCAATTCATGTGCACCCCACATATTATGAAGAAATGTGCTGGTTGCTGCCCTGTGGTTCCCTCCCCCCTCCACTCCACCCTTAGGGCATGAGGCCTAGGTTTCACCTCCCCAGGGCTCCAATTTAACAATCAAAATCCCAGTGGCAAGTCATTTAACTAAGGGAAAGTACTGAAATTCAAATGAGCAGAAATGAAATCAACTGGCGAGGTAGAGAAATGCAGAGCTCAAGACAGCCCTTCTGGAGCTGAGCGGCTGCCTTCCAAAAATAGCAGTGTTTTGGTGGGAACGAATAGGGATTCTTCACAAGCACAGAGTGGCCAAACTGTAATTCCTATTTTTCCAAGTCGTGCCTTCTGCCAATTTGGCTTCTACCTTTTTTTTGTTCCCTGCTTTGAGCTGGCAGGAAAGCTGCACAGCAATGGCTTTTCCTCTACATTAATGTCAGGCTTGCTCTGTTTTTTGCTGATGCTACAATCAGCAAGAAGTCAAAACCAGAAATACCTCCACGGGAAACCCAGACAGCGTCTTACTGACAAAAGTACCCTGGCCCAGAGGGGAAGAAAATGGATTCTTCATGCCACTCGGAGGAAAGAAGATGCCACTAAGTACCTTTGTGTTTCCAGATGAGCCAGAACGCAGACACAGCACAACGGGCCACACTTAGTACATCTGCCACATTTGCTGGAAGTGGTTACAGTACCACCACATTTCTAAATATACCCCTTTTCTTTATGCTATTGGAAAAGATTTTGTGTGGCCAAAATCCTTTAGCAGTGGGTGCGTGAAATACTCTGAGTCCCTTCTATCAGGGCATTCTCGTCTCAGAAGGCATTTATATTTTCAAGCAGGCAAGGGGCAGCCACAAACCACAATGTTCAAAATGGGTAATATGTTGCCTGGGGCAAATGAATGCTCATTTGCTTAGCTGCACAGTGAATACATAGAGCACTTTAGATAACCCAACTGGAAACAAAGGCCTAGGAGAAAGTCACAGCTGTTGATTAGTTTTGATCCAATGTTTCTCATTAGGTTGCTATTAAGTTCTCTTCAGACTTGAACTGGAATTCCACCTGAGGAAAAACAAAGATCAGTCCCTGGGAATCCTCCACCCTAGCTAGGTCTGGGCTAAACTGGCTGTAGCTACGTTGAAATCCACTCATCCATTATAGGGATAGCAGAGATGATACGAGTACGCTTGCTTGTCTGAAGTAAAAATCTAGGTGTTTTCTAGAGACAGAGGCTATGGGCAACAACCAATGACTAAATACTGCAGAAAGCTGGGGCTATAACTGCTGATTGTTGGCCGCATCTGTCACCCTGAGTTTAAATGCTCTGCGTGGATGCTACTGAAAACACCGTGCGTACATTTTAATGGGAAGGGCTCATACACTGTGTATGTATGTGTGCACGTGTGGCAGGGATTTGTGCATGCCTAGACTGGTAACTTCTGATACTGTTATGCCATGATCAGCATTTGTCTTCCAAGTCCAATAGACTCCTACCTGGCAGAAAGGGGATGATCCTCTGTTTGGGATCCTTCTGCCCTCCTTCCATCGGGAATTTGTCCAGCATTTGCATCTAAAAAGGGAACACAAGATAGGAGATTAAATATATTTATTAAAGACAACAAGACAATTCCTCAAATGAGGAAAGACTGAATGGAAGTCAGGTCTCCATGTCAATAGAAGCTAGCTTTGGACACTTGCAAACAACTTCATTACATGGCAGAGGGGGCGCTTGCAACAAGAGAGAGGAGGAACCCTCGAGTGCTTGGCTGCCGATCCAAAGGATTCCATAAAACACCAATGTTAAGATGAACTGGGGACCAACCTTTGTGGCAGGCATGTCACAAATTAGCCTCATACCCTCCCTGGGTACCACTCTGGTCGCCTTCCCCTGCTGCTCTGCTTTATGCTCCCAGTTCGATCTGCTGCTGTGCTGCCTGCCTCCTCCCTGATCTGCTGCATGACACATGCAGAGGCTGCCCATGCCACTTGTGGCACAGATGCCACAGGTTGCCCACCCCTGAACTAGACAGCTGGGAAAGATCATTTCATAAATCCAATTCACTTCTCCCAAGTTAGGTTGCTCATTCACCATTTGCATTCAGCTTAATGAGGGCAGCAAGCTTCACTTGCATTGCTATAACCAACAGCCTTTATCCTAAAGGACTTCAGTAACCTACAAACAAACACTCAACTGCAAATACCCATACTGGAATCTGAATTACTCAAAAAGGTCCCTTGTGAATATTAACTTCTGTGTGAATCACTATGGGATTACTCTAATCAGAGAGGGCACTGATCATGACAACAAGGCAGAGGAGGACAGTGAACTTAAAATTCCAGCTCACTCTAAGGATGCTGTAATGGAGGGGGAATGTCAAGATGCAAACATGCTGCACCCTAAGCAGGATGCTCCTTTTCTTAATAGCATGAAAAACACCCCTAGATCTCACTGAAGATGGTGGGAGTGGGAGGACTTGGTTTCTCATGGTAGACTCCTGCTTCCTTAAAAGACTGGGCAGAGTCAGGGAGACTATGGATCCCATTCTTCAGTGCTGAAAGTCACATGTATAAAGCAAACTTATTGTGCGAGGTCGAAGTGTCCTGATACATGCCAGTATGCTCTGTAAAAATTGCCTCCTAAACTGGAAGTAGTGGAGCCATGTCTCCATGGTGCTTTCCAAGCAAGCCAATTAGGCTTAGACAACCCCCCAAGCTAACCAGCATGTCCATAACATTGCACGGTAATGGCTGCACTGGCTTCAGTTGAATGAGGCAGCCCATGAAGAACTGTCGGTGCGTATCACTACCTGGCATAGTAAGCTTTCCAAGTGGATGTGGCTCATCTCTCCCCATGCTCTATAAAAAAGTGCCCTAAGCACACAATTTGGGGCTGTGGATTTCATCATATAATACGGCACTTAAGAGTTCAGCGTTGAGTACTGATCTTAAGCTCCTTTTATGGATCAGGCTCCTCTGCACCTAAGTGCCCAAAGCGGAGGAATGGTGCCTACCACACATGACTGTCAAGATTGATCTAAGATTCCAAGGTCTCAAGTTATAGGGAGGTTTGGGGGGGCAGACATAATTAGCTAAGACACAGATTTCTCAGTCTGTTTTCTGCACCACTCGACATTATGTTTGTGTAGCCCCTACAGGAAAAAAAAAAAAAAAAAAAAAAAAAAAAAAAAATCAAGTCTATCACAAGCCTTGATCGCCATCTGAGCTCATATGCTTAAAGGACAGCAGTTCCTGTAGCTCATGGCACACAGGAGAGTGTTGTAGCTAGCAACACAGCCAGCTGCCTTTGCCATCCCAGCCCAATCCAGTCCATTGGGTCGCAGGGGTGGGAAGCAGCCTTTGGTAGGATGCTGGAGTAAAGCTCCTACTCACTATTTCTGAAGCAATAGCAAGACATTAAGAGTGCTACCACTTCACCCTTTGGGCCAACAGAAGGGCCTATGCCTAATTTCATGGGACTTGGTTTCATTTTACAATGGTTGGTTTACCCTGCTGGGTTTGCTAGAGCAGCAATTCATAAGCACTTTTGCTAACCTGAGCAGGCACTACCCAAGACAGACAAAACTCAAAAGAGGAAGACAAACAACAAAATGCAGTGGTGCTTTTTTCAAGCTCTATGAGGAAAAAACACACTCTCTCTCCCTGTGCAGGTAAAGGCACAACTGGATCTAATACTTAATACACACAATGGTGTCTCCTACCATGCCTCTCATACATGGCAGGAGGCACAACTGAGGGATTGCACATTAGATCCAATCGTGCCTTACTGCCGGTGTAGGGGGAGCTCAGTCTTGAGCTCCTCCTCTGTAGCAGAAAGCCCCCTTTTCCTCTTGCCTGTAGTTGCTCTCCCTTCCTTGGATATGTTTTTCCTCTTCTACCTTTTCTTCCTTCCTCTTTCTTTCACTTTAAGATAAGGAATTGTGTTTTAAAGTTTGTACGTGTGCATTTTGTATCTCCCCTTGTATTTTGGTATCTTTATCTATTTGTGTGCATTACTCTTGTAGCTTATATTTTATACTCCTCACCTTTTAATTAAATGTGTTTAGTTTCAGAAGTAAGTTATACATTGTAACAATGTTAACAAGGGCAGGAATCAAACTGCCGCTTTCCTGTATCAGGCAGGCCCCTGAAAGAGCGAGTGAATCAGTGATTGAATACATAACACAGTAGCAGACAGCAATTAACACCTAGGGAAACCGCAGATCAACCAAGGGAAGAAATCAATAGGAGACAATGTAGCAACCGGGAATTCTCTAAACTTCACTGTTCAAGGGCTAGAAGCCCTGGTTTGAATTAATCAACGCCGGGGACCAATTTTTGGGCTGAATATCTCCAGATCGACCGCTCCCAGAGCCCTGTTCAAAATTTATCAACAGACTCCCAAACCTGCACGTACATGTGGATGACCCCTGGGGCTGACAGATGCCATCCAGTAGCCACCGAGGAGGAAGTCCCACAAGGGTCAATGACCCCTGGATTGGGCAAACCTGAAAACTGGGGAGTCACCAAAATCTGCCAAGGACAGATAAAAAGAAAGAAGCCTCGACTGGCCCCCAAGGTTTATGATTTGACTTCATTACAGTGTTTCAATCCGCCTAATAAAACCAGAATTTTAAGGATCCTGAGTTGGACATTTGTAGCCAACACCTCCACTGGCAAGAAGCAGGTTCCCAGGTGTGGGGGCCACATGTAGCCAGGACCAAAAGTCCCCACAACTGACAGGCTCTGATGGGCTGCATTTGACCAAGAGCCACCCCCTCCCCCCACACTCAGGAGCCCAGGCAGGTGCAGGACTCTTGGTCCCAGCTGGGTGTGCAGCGCAGCTGGGACTGAAAGCCCCATATGGGACTAGGGGGATCATGCCAGCCCCAGGACTCAGGGGTTTCATGCTGGACATAGGGCACCCCTGTGGCTGGGAGCCCTGTCAGCTGACGGGGCTTCCAGCCAAAGAAGAGACCCCGCTACGTGTGCAAATTAAAGCTCAGTAGCACCCAGCTATAAAGCTAGTACACATTTTCAAGGCTTAACTTTATAGCTGGTTGGAGCTTCTTATCATGGGATAGCTACTTTGCATGTGTAGCTGGTGTTTAGGTAATTTTGCAATTAACCAGTTAATTGTGCGATATCTGTAATGGGTAGAGGTAGCCACACACACACACACACACACACACACACACACACACACACACACACACACACTGTTAGTTTAAGCAAGGACAAGAAAGAAAAAGAAAAGCAGGGAGAGGCAGTTTTAGGAATAAAAAATTAAGATGAATCCAAAACTGAACCATTTAAAAAACAGTGCTTAAATGCTCCCTTTAAAAGATGGCCAGTCATCTCAAACACAGGAATGTGTTAAAGTGGGAAGAAATATGATTTTAGGATTTGATTTTAAGTGAGTTAGTGACATAGAAAATGAATCTAGACTCAGCAATAACTGGAGATTGCTCTGACGTTACCAGAAGCCACAAAATGAGCATGGCGGAGAGTGGAATCATTTCCGCAGTACAGAGTGACCACAAGGCTGTCACTGCGAGTACCATTTCAGTGAAGTTATTGGGCATGTAACACTCTCCTGTTGGTTTCTTAGTTTCAGGAAAATAAAAGGATTATACAACATCGCCACTAGCCAACATTACAGACTCCTCTTGCCACCATCTATCCAGAAAGAAACTAAACGAGTCTAATTTTATTATTCCTGTTGGCAAAGGCTATTGAGTTTATGACTGACTCAGGATACACAGAACAAATCAAGTCACCAATACAACACACATGAATACAGTTAAGTAACACAATAATTGACTCAAGGTTTTTTCCTTTCGCCTTTCTTCAAGAGGGCTTATTGCTCCTAAAACTGAGAGAGACACCAACAGTACCAGAGCCAGGAATACTGTCTTTGTGCAACTGAACTCTCTCTCTCACCCATCCTGGATGAGCTTCCAGTGTCCTTTTGTCTTCTTATCCCGAGATCCAAAACACAACACAACTAGGGACCACAGTTTTGCATTGCAGCTTCCCCTGTTGCATGGGAGGGGGCAGGATTTTCTGCTGTGGATATCATCAGATCAGAGTCTGGTAGCTACCTCCAAGTCCCTAGATGATCTCTAGAGATCACAGATGCTGTCCTGAGCAGATACTGCTGTGGAAAGCAACAGCATATGATCATTGCAGACTGGTACTGGAAGAGCTGTACGGCCAAAAAGTGGCAGACTGTCTCTAAACCACAATATCACCTGCTACTCCAGAGCTGGGGTGAGGAGAAGAAGCTGGTAGTTTGCTTGCCTGCGTTATGGTGAGAGCTGCAAGTCTCCAAGACTGATAAGCACCAACATGTCTGCTGCACAGAAATGGAAAAGCACAAACGCCCTGAAAGGAGGGGCAAGGCCCCCAAAACATTAAAGAATGGAAGTGCAGGGATGGGAGAAAGTCAAGAGGGAAGGTCACATGGAGTCACATCCAGTCCAGCTGCCACATCACACAATTTGGGGGAAGGCAGAGGCAAATACCAATTCAGCAGTTTATAAGACATAAGCCTGTGGCTGAAGAAAAGCT